GATAAAACACGTTACTTCACATTGGTGCGTCGCATTCAATCAGGCCGGTAATTACCACGTAGGAAAACGGACACTTTCTTTTTAAATATTATAACCGTATTTCAATTCGACGTCGATTAAGAAAAAAAATGCCGATCAAACTAATTTATTTGTTTCACTTAGAAGTGTGATCACAGCCGATCAGACGGAGCAGATCAAGCAGCGGTCTTTCTGGACGTGCCATCACCCGTCAAAACAATCACGCAAAAAAAAAAAAAAAAAAAAAAAAAAACGTAGAATCACGGCGCATTCACTGTGAGTGATTGGTTCATTCGGTGATAGCAAACGCACGACGACAACGGGCGACGTGACGATGCACTTTTGGTGCCGTGTGATCCGATCGTAGAGTCAAATCGAAAATAGGTAGTTTTAGGGAACGGTTTTTGCACACCCGATACGAACTGCCTATGCGCTACCGCAGAAGGATCGCGCATGCGCAGTTCGTATACCGGACGACACTTCGTACCGTATCGGGTGTGCAAACACGGTTCGCCAAAACTCTCTACTAAGTGTTGTAGTAAGCGTCCCTATTCGAACTTCACACGGTCCTGCACAACTAACATGCCTTGCGCCGAGTGGATGTCTTCCGTTCAAAGAGAGAAAACCTCGGAGTTGTATTCATCCCCTGGATCTTCCATCACCCCGTCCTGACCGACTCTCGACCACGAAGGGGATTATGGAAAAGCCCACGTTATCTTTACGGGAACAAATAGAGCGTCTCGAAACCCCGCGTGGAGATGAATCACGAAAAAAAAAAAGTGTGTGTGCGTTGCGGGACCTTGCAGGTTAGTAGAGCACGCACGAACGTAGGCTCCACCCGAATAGAAAACGTGCGGGGGAAACCGTCAATGACCTAATTACACAACACGAAGACGTGCCCGAACCAGCAAAAAAACAACATATATATGAAAAACTGTTTAAAATTGAGAATCGTGGCGGAAACGAAGACAGCAAGCAACCCTGGGACACGAAAGTCCTCGATATTCACGACGCAACCCACGCAACATCGTTATCATGGAAGAGCTATACTCTGACCTAATTACCACACCAGGAACTTAAAGGGGACGTGCAACATTATTGAGTTGGAATGTTTGTCGCTGTACGCAAGTTTACTGGCACTGCCTAGTGTACCGCAAGTGTGTATAGCCTGCGCCTTACTCCAAGAAACCAGGAGCTTCTTTGTAGCGGCTATTTTTGAGAAAAAAGGGGACTTTTTCTTTCAGTATCTCCCTCGCAAAGCTGGATGACGTAGTCAGGGGTCGCGATGCCGATGTTGTCACGGAAATTACCCCACGGCGATGATACAAGATGTGGCTCATCGATTGCACTGGGTAAGCCCTCGATTCGGGCTCGTTCCTCGACGAACGCTCAGGTATAGTGGCTCGTAACCAATCCCTGCAAATGAATAGCCGGTCCACACCAATGTCTATAGGAGGTATTCACTGGGTGCCATATTTGAGGTCGATGTTTAGAGCGCATGCTCAGAACGAGCTCCCATAATTTGCCTGCTAAGACCAGCAATCTCGGTGGTGCGGATTGCACGTGACAAAAGAACTGCGGAAGCTCACCGTCAGCACGAGCTCAGCACTCGCGCACACAGATATGGCCGCCAGTGAATTCCCCCTATAGGAAGTATTCACTGGCGGCCATATCCGTGTGCGCTGCTGCCGAGCGCGTGCTGACGGCGAGCTTCCGCAGTCCTTTTGGAGCGCGCACTTAGCACCATCAAATTTGCCGGTCTTAGCAGGCTTTAATGGGAGCTCGTTCTGAGCATGCGCTCTAAACATCGCCCTCAAATATGGCGTCCAGTGAATACCTCCTATAGGAGTCGGGACGTGTCATGTGCCTCGTCAAGCCCAGCGTGTGGCTATGACTAGAGCCACTAAATGAGCTGCGCTTAGAGTACCGGCACTCCGTTCCCCGACATTGTTGTGGGCGCCGCCATTTTGGTTCGTATGCAGAGCAGACGCAACTGCCGATCGTTATGATTCAAAAGTGCGACTTCCTCAGCATTAGATTCGGTGTTAGGAAGCTCATGTAATACTGCTTTGTTTTGTCGCGAACTGTTTAAACATTTGTGGAGGACTGAAAAGCGTTTCTTGCGATTTCAAATAAAGCTTCAGATAACTTGCAACCATGATATTAAGCCACAATATGGCCAAGTGGCGTTACCCTGAAGCCTAGCTTATTTAGTGGCACTAGCTACGACGAACATCGGCGGCAGATAATCATTACCAGATAACGTGGCCGCTTGTTCTGTCTGCGAATTGAGGGGGTGGGTGAGCGCGACTGTTATTGCCCGGAGAGAGTATAGCGGTCGTTTCGTAGTTTATGAACGTCAAGAATTAATTGCCAGCGGTATTTACTGCAAAGTCACGGCTGAAAGTGCTGCGATCGTTGAACCGCCGCTCTCAACCGCATTCTTATCGCATTATTAAAACCGAGTAAACTTTCTTCGTGGTGAGAAGCAGCCGCCCGTTTGGGTGTGGCTGCCGGCGGCGCGCTGCACCTCGGAGTTTTATCTCTCTCACATCCTCGAAACTGCCGCTTTCAGCAGACAGTAAATCACACGAGTGCCCGCAAATAGGCCGAAGCCGGCGGCGCGGTCATGACATATACATGTCATGGTTGACGGGTATACCTGTATCGGGGCGTGGACTTTGTAACGCCGGTGTAGTGTTTCTCAGGCACGGTTGGTCATTCGTCAAAGTGACGATTATATAGCCACTATACCTAAACACCCTGCTAGCGTTTATGTATCACAAACATGGCAGCCTGCACAAGGCAATTATTGGGATGGCCTATGGACAGCAATGAATAAAACATAAAAATGTGAACGGGACCAAGAGGATTTTTACTACCAAATCACGTGTTTTCAAATGTTTTTTTTTTTTTTTTAACGTTATTTTTCCATTATAAAATGCATCCGTCCGTCCGAGCATTTCCCGCCCAATTTAGCGGGGAAATTGATGTCACGTGACCTATACACGAATTCAGATTTCCCGCTAAATTCAGCGCGAAAATAGATGTCGGGACCTAAAGGCCAATTCAGTATCGCCGCTAAATTTCGCGAACAAATTGGCGGCATGGCATGTGACATACACACCAATTTGGTTTCCCCGCTAAATTTGGCGGGGAGAATGATGTCATGTGACCTGACGTCACGTGACTTTGTTGGAACCGAGCAAATAAACAACCGACTGTCAGGATAAAAAAAAAATCCTTCACTGGCTTCTGTCGCGGTCTGGTGGACGAAGTCCGAACTTCGCAAACACGCGCTCCTGCTTCGTTTGTATATAGTTTTACGACCAAATTTGGGGAAAAAATTGATGCCACGTGACCCGACGTATACAAAACTGTAAATAACGCTCTAAACAAATTAAAAAAAAAAAAAAGACTCTTGCCTTTCAAATACTGTATGTGCTCGAGTAATAGTCGCACTTGTGATGAACAGAGTCGGTGCTTGGTTTCCTGCATAGTACACATTTAGCCAATCATCGCTGCCTGCATCAAAAAAAGAAAAAAAAGCGCAGGAAATAAAATTACTGGAAACACGCATTACCGTAAAAAAAGAAGAAAGAAGCGAATTGGGCAGAAGATTGCAACTTTGAGTGCTCTGTCCCGTAAATCGCTGCCATTTTTTCTGCCGATCACGGTGATTCGCTATCCCCGTGCTCTGCGGGAAAGCAGACCCAGAGGCCTTGTTCTTAAGATGTGCGACATTAGGCCTCTAAACTCGTCAAACAAAGTTGGGGCCAAAGTTGAAGTTGACGGAGCGCATCGATTGGCTTATCGCGACGATGACTTCGCGATTTTTTCGCCGACGTGCAATCAGCGCTCTCCGCGAACTTTGGGCTCCAACTTTGTGTTGCACAAGTTTAGGGGCCTTACTTGAGCAAATACGTACAAGCGAATTTGTAACGTTGAAACGTGCGTTGCCGCTGGAGACAACGACCACCCTACTTCAAAGTAACATCGGACGTGAATGTTTAGATAAGACGACGAGAAAATGGTCGAGAGTAGCACCACCTAAGCGTTGGAGCAAGAGGTGCCGTCCAAACAGATCCAGACTTGTCTAAAGAGTCTCGGCGTAAACGATCGCATCTGCGCACGTGCGCTCGCAGGAAATCAGTGAACACCGAAAGTGCCACGACTCATCCAAAACCGGACGGCCTTCGAGGTCCCAAGGTCAGGGTGTATTTGTGAACCGAAATCCTCCCAGACCCTTTCGCTCTTGAGAGGGAGAATAATAGATCTCCGGACGTTGGTCATGGTGCTCTTCGGTTATTTTTTGAGAGGGGGCCAACTCCCTCCACGCGCCCCATGTTTGACGGCTCAAGCCTCACCGGTGTAGTGTGTTCTCGGAGATATCACGGAGGGGCAGAGCCGCACCCACATCTCGCGTGCTTTCTCGCGAAAACGAAGCGAAACAGCAAAGTCCAGCAGTTCTGGACCACAGTCTCTAAATTAAACAGCTTTTACTTTAGACAAGCTATTTCATTACAACACGCAGAAACGTAAGATACAGCATGTTACATAAAAAAAAAAAAAAGGAAGCAAGAAAACAGGTGCAGCTCTTCAAAGTGATAGACCGTATATGAGCGAAAAAAAGGGATTTCCCTAACAGAAGTGAAATTGTGCACCCAATCGCGTAGACACCTTTCGACGAACATGTCACTTCAAGTTCTTTACATGCAACGTGTAAAACCACAAAAAGGGGGGCTGCGTGCCACATGTTATACCACTGCCTCATCTAGAATACCAGGTCATTCGCTTCCCTCATTATGGCAATTAAAATCCGTGCGAGCTACGTACGCAGGTGCGTCGCTTTCATCTAACCCGTACCGCGCGACATATTCAAGTCAACTTCGCCGGCGGCGTGTGTCAACATATCCAGTGTAAACACCGAACCGGCGATCCCGACGCACGCGATAAGGCATCGATTTTCGAGCGATACTCACAGGTTGCCGTCTCGATTGCTGATGATCTCCACGGTGTATCCGAAGTGGCTCTGGTCGTTTCCTTTGAATATGACCGGGAACGATGTATCCAGGTTACCCGATGCCGCGACGTCAATCCAGCACGTGAACACGGCGACCCAGCACATAATCGTCGCGAACCTCCCGTTGACCAGCGGCGGCGGTGACCTGTTTCGGTTCCGCCGTCCGTTTCGATGAGCAGCGGGCTCCATCGTAGTATCTGCCGTACGCGAAATCCTCGCAGATGTCTTCCCCGTTACCACGATCACGAAATCAGTGTTGAGCGCACATCGGTGGCGGAGCCGCTCAAAAGAAAACACACAACTCGACGATCTACCAGAATGCGCCGGGGCCGTACGAACACGCGCGCACACACACTACACCGCAAATCCACTCGAAGGAATGAGCAACTCGTGGATTACAAGTTGGTGTTTTGGGGAGAGGAGAGAAATGGAAGGAGGGGAGGAGAAAAAAAAGTGACGTCATCCGTCGGCGAAGGTGCGCGCCGCTGCGTGAGCGGCCAATGGGAGCGGAAGCGCGTACGTGACGTCAGGCTACGTCGCTTTTGCTTCCAGTCGCTTGTTGTTGTTTTGGCGCTGCAGGCGCCAGCGATGAGTAATGCGCGGTGTCGTCATCATCGCGTCGCGCGCGACCGGCGCCTTGCCACAGCGGGGACTCGGATGGCAGCAGTTTGTTTCAGTTTCGCTTTGTGGAGGAAAAAAAAAGGAAGTATGCCGGATTCGGAGGGGGATGTTGGGTTTGTCACAGACATTTTTTTCTCAGCGACGTCGCCTACGCGCTTCTTCCGGACCGGACGGTCGTTCAGGGGGGAAGCTCTCACCGCTCGCGACTGTCGGCTCTTCCATTTTAGGTGCGAGCGAAAAAGATGGATGCGTTCCCTAGAGCGCTTCTTCGCGGGTCAACGTTCAAAATCACTCAGCGGACCACTCTGACCTCTTTACTAGGAGAGGAGGGTGTGGTTGACGCTCGAGATTGCGGGTCGCGAGTGAAAACCCCCAGCGACCCCCAGAGTACGCTCTGTTCGCCCCAAAGCTGACAGTGAGGTGGGAGCTACTTGCTTGACGGACCAATCGATCTCGGCTCTCCGCGCGTAGGGGAGGGCGGGAGCGCGATCACGTGGAAAAGGGCAGACGGATGACTGGTCAACTTGCATGAAGCTTGTTCCCTACTGTCCGCTTTTAGAGGGCATTCAAAGTGGGTGAAGACGTCTATTGAGTCAGCTCGCTTTCTTGTGCGGCAACGCCGTCGAACTTGAAATAGAGACGGGGGGCTTGCCCCCGTTTTGTCATCGTTTCTGTACCCCTCGACTAACGCGGTGAGAAACGAACCGGCGGTCTAAAAGCGGCTGACTGCGGCGGGGAGTGATTCACTTTCTTGTCTGGTGTGAGAGGGTCGCTCTGTTTGATACGTAGACTGCCATGTCAATTCTCAGTTGTGGAACGTGCGTTGCCGCGTGCTGAGCAGCGCGCCTTTATCTGAACTGTCGTCCTCTCGGTGATCTCGTGTTCGGCGCGTCACGCGAGCAGCTCCTCGTTTGTCATAGTGACGCTTGCTTTGAGTCAATGATGTTCAAAGAATCCTCTAAACACATATCTCTTTTCAGGACAAATATTCGACTGGATTTCCTTACCCATTCATGACTACCACCGCGAGCCTCATATTATTTGGCGCACAAAAGGTGAACTTTGTTTCTTCACTCGTCACATGCCTTCTAATGTTGTCAAGGGAGCAGCCCCAGTCATTGTCAGAACTGATTTTCGATCTTGTTGGACGAATCGTCTAAACCCGACCAAAGGCAATTCTTTTTTTTTTTTTTTTTTTTTTTTTTTTTTATGAAAAGGAAGAAATGTTTTTGTTCTTAGAATTGAAAGGCAGTTGCTAAAACTACCACGGGTGCGCACTCGGTGCGCACCCGTGGCTATCCGGTGCGCACTAGGTGCGCACCGGATAGATATCGAATCAAGGCGCACGGGACAGCCGCACTGACCGACTTCCAACCGCGACGCGCACGGCATGGGTGGTACAGAGCCTATGGCTCTGGGGTGGTGCATGGCGGCGTACCGAACAAATCGACAGGTTTGCTTACAGTTCATAATAACAATGTCCAATTGAAAAAGAAAAAAAGAAAGTTACGGTTCTGATATTGCTGCCCATCTTCACGATAGAAAACCTTTGCGGTGTGGGTTGCTCGTCCAGATATCTGCGACATGAATGCACCGAGTTCGTTAACCGACTGGATTCGGTACCCCCTCCAGTTCGATGCAATGCAATTATGAGAGAAATCTTTGAGCGGAGAGTGTTTCTCCGTCCAAAAATGCGACCATTGGCAGTTATTTTGCGTGTTGTCGTAGAAGGAATATGCTTTTCTCAAGTAGCAAAGATATGCAGGCGAGCTGGTTTGGAAACATCATAATCTAAACCACAAGAGAAGGAGAAATAAATAACGTGCGTTATTTTATTTCTTCTGGTCTGGTGGTTTATTGTGATAATTCTCTCGTTGTCCGAAGTTAGCTTGATTGAAAGCGTCAATGATTGCAAAGAAGCAAAACGACTCACTACAATTGGGCACCAAAAATAAAATGGGTTGAGGATATGTTTATGCAGTCTGAACTTAGTCTGCCTCAACGAGCGACTTGTCTCTCAGCTATAGAAGAGCAATTTAGCCAGCGCGGTTGTGATACACGACCGCAGGGCGGTACGTTGCTCATCCAGATCGAAACGGGCAGGGGTGGGGATTGCACCCAGGATCCCTGGGTTCTGCCGGGCGAGCTTTCACTCCACGTGCTCCGAGCTGGTGTGCGCTAGCCCACTCGGCCACCGATTGACAGCAATCCCAGCCTAATCGTAAGGTTCGAACGACGTATCTTGAAATTGCTTTAGTATTTGCATAACTAGAACATATCGTGACAGATCCATGCTAATTGAGCTTATTGTTTTGAACCATGGGTAAAAGCGCTAGGAATACGAACGCAAGAGAGAACTACTCACAACTGTGTTTGACAAAAAAAGATTTAAGTACATATGTAAATGTTAATACACCTATCATGTTCTTTTTTTTTTAAGCTCAACTATAAGTATTTTTATAACCGAGCTTAGGCCAAAATGTTTATATGGCACGGGGGAGGGTGTAACGTTTGTCAAGAAAACGCTACCTTTGATCCATCTATAGTACAAGTCCTTGCAGGGCCGTAACCAGGGGGGGGGGGGGGGGGGGGGTTAGGAAGTTCTGACCCCCCCCCCCCCCCCGAAATTTTTTTCTGGGTACGGCCCTGGTCGGTGCACTGGCAGCCAGCCGATTTTAATCTCCACCTCTGCGCACGCGCAGTGGCGCCGGTCGGCTACCGGGTACCAAACCGGGACCGGTTCTCCGGTTTGCTGTAACTCTCCATTATATGCCACCGATGCACATGATTCATAGGCGAAAATAAGACAATAGACACTTTCAAAACGGCCGCCGTTGTCCCCGAAACCCCCCCCCCCCCCCCCGAAATTTGTTTCTGGTTACGGCCCTGAGTCCTTGTAATCATCGTCGGCTGTAAGCCCACCAAAGACAATAGCCGACTATTCACGAAGAAGGCATGAAATGTATTTATGATTCACTCTCCTGAACAATATATACGGCGTTAAAAGTCAAACCTGTTGCACCCTGTCGCCTCACCCGGTCAACATCCAACTACAAAGTCTGATCGGCGGAGACGTGCATACAGCAGAGTCCCCGCGAAGTGTCTGTTGTCCTCGCCGCCCTCGTTCAGTTCGCACGTTATTGCATAGATGATGCGAACTTCGAAGTACGCGCTGACCAGTGAACTTAGTTTATTTAAGAGCCAGGATAAAACACAGACGTACTAAGGTTTTTCAAACAAAAGAAATGTTCTTTCTCGGACCTGAAACTGTGCAATGGGCCTAACAAATAACAAGCAGTTAATTCCAAATGCTTCCAACGAGTACTTCACGTCTATATTTACTATGGAAACAGGAATAGTTCCAAGTTATGAGAGTTCTAGAATAGTGATACCGGACATCAGTATTACTGAAGAGGGAGTTCGTTAGGAAGAGCCACGGTGCCGATGGCATTCCGAATGCTTTTTTGTTTAGATACGCTGAATGGTCACCAAAGTTTCTGCATTTGATTTATTGCCATAGTCTCAATACGGGAGACGTGCCTGATGAATGGATAAAGGTTAAGGTGATATCAATATTTAAATCGGGTGACAGTCGATGCGTCGAAAACTACAAACCTGTTTCACTTTTGTGTACGGCCAGTAAAGTTCTGTTATAAGGTGTTTGAACACTTCGTATTCAAACACCTTATAACATTTTTTGAAAACAGTAATTTTTTTTTTTTTTTTTTTAAGGACGAACAGCATGGATTCAGACGGGGTTTTTCCACTGTAACACAACTTGTTCATACGATACACGAACTTGCGGTTGTCATTGATATCGGCGGACAGACAAATGTTATCTTTTTAGATTTTGCGAAAGCGTTCGATCGCGTCTCCCATGACAAACTTCTGCATAAGTTACACTTCATCATCAGTAACGAGAACATATTACGATAGCTTGATTCCTATCTTACTAACCGTGCGCAGTGTGTTAGGGTTGACTCTGCTTTTCCCCCCGAATCACCCGTTTTCTCGGGCGTGCCACAGGGCCCGGTCCTTGGGCCGCTTTTGTGTTTAATTTTTATTAACGATTTAAAGATACACCACCCCAATGTACAAATCCGATTTTTTGCTGACGATTGTGTTTTATTTGCTAAGGTAAACAACCCGTCTGATCAAGAAGAGTTAAATTATTGTCTATCTTTGATTCATGCATGATGCATAAAATGGAATATGGTTCTGAACTGTAAAAGGTGCGTTCAAATGGCCGTGACGCGGAAAAACAACCCTTTGTTTTTTACATATTCTATCAATGGAGTACCACTCGAGACTGTTAAACAATATCAATACCTCGAAGTTTTAATTACCTCTGATTTGTCATGAAGTGCACATGTTGAGTTTATAGCTCGTAAAGCAGTACGGAAGCTCTGGTTTTTGAAACGAAATAGTAACCTCTGTTCACCTGAAACTAAACTGACTGCTTATAAAACCATCATAAGACCAATGCTAGAATATGCATGTATTGTATGGGACCCTCATACAAAGCTGTCAATTGATAGGTTAAAGACTGTGCAAAAAAAAAAAAAAAAAAAGCATTGCGGTTTGTGTACAATCGCTATGGTTTTATGTCATCCGTTTCAGATTTGTACCCAAGATCGGGGTTGAGTGATTTAGCAACCTGGAGAAAAACTGAACGGCTGAAGTTTCTTTATAATATGATACAAGGTAATTTGCGACTGCGTCCCTGTGATTACACTTCAT